ATTCGTAATGTACCAAGGCTGTGGAACAGCCCAAGTGCCCATCAATCCAAGAATGAGATTATAATAAATGTGGAATAATGTAATTACCAATGAAGAGTACGTATTCAGTCTAAGAAACAAATCAGGTAAGATATAGGCAACATCTAATAATATTTTCTTGGTTAGAGTGGAACCCCAATACTTACTAGGTAAGTATCCAAGAATGGGAAAACAAGCACAATATAACTCAACCAGACAAACTGGTATTAACATGAGCAGCACCATAAGATGGACACATATAGGTACTACAGGCATAGAGAGTAATTGGGCAAGGTGGAAGAAGGGAGCTGGTTACTATATACATACATAATGAGTAGATGTGACCATCTGGGGGATGGTCATGCTGGAAACTCAGACTTGTGGTGCAAGGGGGGGAAGGACATTTATTGAAACCTTAAAATCTGTACCCCCATAATATGCCTTGAAATAAAAAAAAAAATGATTATAAAAAACATAGTTATGAACTTACTAAGTAGTATTGCATGCATCTTTTCCCATTGACTTTCTATTTTTTTGTATTGTTATAATGTTGCCTGAACCAAATAGAAAAAGAAAAAAACGCAGAACCCTTTCGGCATGCACTATCTTTGTGACCTTTAAACGATAAGTAGGCAGCTAAGAGAATATCTATGGGATGGTAGGGTACTCCACATGTACATAAACTTATCTTGCCAGTTGGCCCTTCGCACCAGGCTGATAGGAACATTTCAAAGATACTATATCCTCAACAGTTATCTTCACATTTTTCTTGACCATAAAAGTCCAAAATATTTTACTCTAAAATATCTTCAGAGCCATTTTAATGTTTCTCTTATAGCAATCTGTGAAACTACATAAAATATTCAAAATTAAAGTCTGAACTACTGAGTGATTTTAGAAGAACATTTTTAAAATTTATGTACCAATCAAAAAATATTGATAAGAGTATTGCCCAAAACACCTTTATGAAACTTTATTTAATATATTAGTTACAAAATGTTTATTAGTATATCAATTATATAAAAATAGGCCTTTTAAGAGTATTCCATATCTTACAAAGTAAAAATAATCATTTTTAAATCAAGATGATACTCACATGTCTTCCTGCCCTTCAAAGACCAGGTTAAATATGAAGTTATCCATGCAGGTTTTGCTGAATTTTCCCCCATGCAACACATACTCTCCCTCTTCCTCTCTTTCTCAGTGCTTTTAGGGCTATAGAGAATTGCTCCCAGATATCTGGATATTAGGGATAACGTTAACTCCTGAAAGTTAAGCTAGCAAAATTAAATTTTAATAAATGAGATTAGCTATCTGCTGAAGTTGTCTTTCAGTACTGGAAGTCCCATCATGAAACCATAAAAGCAGATCCTAGAGGTAAGTAGCCAAACTATAATACTGGAAGAACTGAATACACAATGTGAACGGGAGTGTGGATTTCATGGGGTGCAGAACAAGTAATCCCAAGGAGCATGAGTGCACACGTGCAGGGCTCGGCCTTGACTCTGAGCCCCGGTTCACTAGCACCCTCTTGTTCCTTTATTGGTCTTCCAGTGTAGACGTCCCTACTGAGGAGTGAACGTGCTACCCAGCTGACAAGACTATTTTGGCCCATTTCAAAGTTGTCATTATTCCCAGAAAATTAATACATTGGCTTCTGGATTTTTCCATCAGTCTCTAGTAAGTTGTTTTTTTCTACATCTGATCAATTCTAAGTACTGACCCATTTAATTTCTTCACTTGCAAAATTAGACTGCAGACCCCTCTGGGATAATGCCACCGGGGGCAGTGCCACCCTGCCCAGGGAGAAGGTGAATGTGGGAATTTACATCGTCTTCTATGCTTTCTTCACGCCTTAGCCTTGCCAGGCCTGGCGCTGTGATCCTGAGCGGGGAAAGGCTGAGGATAGAAAAAAAAAAAACATCCCGGGAAGTTCATATTCAAGAGGAAAGAGCAGAGGCAGGAGAAGTAAAAGTGCTCTAATTATCAGTCCACCAAGCTAAGATGTCAGTGCAGCCGTGCGGATTTGGAGAGCCCAGGAGGGACCAGCAGGCTGCCTTTCTTTTTCCATAGCCTCCTGCCAGAGATAACCTTGCTCAGCAATTTGGAATTCATCTTGGATGTTCACCAATAATTTTATGCTAGTTTTCAAATTACAATGGTACTGTATATAAAACTTTATAAGCACATCTCATGCAAAGTGTATAATAATATACCAAGTGAATAATAACATAACAATAGCTGGTTTTTATTGAGCTTGAACTCTCAGCTGCTGCATTCCAGTAGCTCTACTAGAGTCCCCTGTAATTGGACGTTTAGTTATTTCCAAATTTTTGCTGTGAAAATAATGGATATTTTGACTATAAAGCTTTTTCTAGCATTTAGGAAAGCTTCCAATCTGGTAATTTCTCAGAATCTGCGTTAAAAGATATACATTTTTCAATGTTTTATTATGTATATTTAAGATATATGTGATGTTATGGGCTACATATAGATAGTAAAATGGTTACTGGAGCGAAGCAAATTAACACATCCATCATCTCACATAGTTACCCTTTTCACATGTGTGGCAAGAAAAGCTAAAATCTACTCATTAAGCAAAAATCCTGAATATGAAACAATACTATTAACTGTAGTTCTCGTGTTGTGCATTAGATCTCTAGACTTGTTTATCCTGTAGATCTGCTACTTTGTATCCTTTGGCCTACATGTCCCCATTTCCCCTCCCTCACCCCAGCCCCCATTAACCACTGTTTTATTCTTTATCTCCATGTATTTGACTTTTCTTTTAAGATTCCAGAGATAAGTGAGATCATCCAGTATTTTTCTTTCTGTCTCTGGCTTATTTTACTTAGCATGATGTCCTTGGAGTTCATTCATGTTGCAGTAAATGGCAGTATCGCCTTTTTAAGGCTGAATAATATTCTACTCTATGTGTGTGTGTGTGTATATCTAAATTTCTTTATTCATTCATCCCTCAATGGATACTTAGATTGTTTCCACATCGTGACTCTGTGATTAATGCTACAGTGAACATGGGAGTGCAGATGCTGTTACGAGGTCATGATTTCCTTTCCTTTGGGTGTACATCCAGAAGAAAATTGCTGGGTCATATGATGGTTCTAATGGTAATTTCTTTGGGAAGCTTGGTACTATTTTGCATAATGATTGCACCAGTCTACATGCCCACCAACAGTTTCCTTTTCTCCACACTCTCACCAACACTTGTTATCTCTCATCTTTTTTTATAATAGCCAAAGAGATACACATTTTTAAATGTACTTGATATATATTGTCAAGTTGCTTGCTAAAAGGACTGTACCAAAGTATGCCAAAGTGTGATACTGTCATTTAAGAAGGAAGCAGCCCGCCAAACAAGAGCAAAGCATGTGAGCCATAAGTGTGACAGCTGCCACCCAAAAAGCGAAAGTGAGCTTGGACAACATTGAGAATACTCACATCCAAAACAAGGGAGAGGACGCAGTGGTACCGAGATGGGGAAGATTATACTCAGGCTATTAATTTCAATGTGGGTATGGATATCAACAATTAACACAAATAGAGAAAAGAATCAGGACGAAGAGGAAATTTCAAACTATACTTACTGAGAATTGTTAGAGCAATTATGACTTCTTAAGCTGAACAAGAGGGAAGGCAAAATGAACTCAAATGTATTGATGTGTCCAGCTCTATAGTCGGCATCGCTATTCATTAGCTCATGAATTTTCTGTGACCGTATGTCCCTAAGACGCCCCTAGTCATATCTGAACACTGAAGCTAAGGAGGATCAGGGCTGCCCGGCTGGGTGGGAACTCTCCCTTATGGGAAGACTATATGGAACAGTGGTTAAATGCAGTTGTGTGGGCACCAGCAAGTTACTAAACTGTTTTGCCTCAGTTTCTTTATCTGAAAAAGATATCTACTTTCTGAAAAAGATATATACATATCTACTTCATGGGGTTCTCATTAGGAGTATGTGAAACAATATACATACCTGACACACAGTATACAGCCAGTAAGGGTTAACAATTATTGTCATTATCCTTCCTACAATTCTAGTAGTTGGAAACCATTATTTCTATTTATAGAAGAATTAACAGTTCAGAAAAGTTAAATAAATTAGCAAGGTCACATATTTATTAGAAAGATACAGCTAATATTTTGTCCCAAATCTGATTTTAAAATCTGGGGTTTTGTGTTTTTGTATTTTCCTTTTCTTTACTTAAAGCTTCCTTCTCGATAGAGGACTTGCAGGAAAATCTGAGAGCTGTTTGCAGATGCTCTAAGTCTAGGCTCACAGATGCATTGGACTAGATCTTCGATGTTGCCTTCAAGAACAGATCTGATTCCCATGAGTGAAAGTTATTTTGGACTTAGTATAAAGAGAAGCTTTATAAGTTTATAAAATTTATAACTTTGTAAGTTTCTCCCTATAATAAGGAGAAAAGAAACATGTTCAAAAGCAGATTGGTGTCTTTAATGGGGTAGTAAATTATACATCACTGTTGGTGCACAAGCAGAGATTAGATGGTGACTTGTTGAGGATGTTGCAGAGGAGACCTGTGTAATTGCCTCCAGGGTGCCCTGACCTACTGTGAATAGCAATGCCTTAGGGACAGAGCTTCTATCACACAAAGACACCCTTTCCCTGTTTCCAGGGCAGGTGGACTTCTTGGCCAGCACTGGGGACCAAGGATGAGTGTGGCTTCCCTGGCATCTCCAGATAGATGTATTTTTCTCCTCTGATCACTTTAAGCGATTTTTGCACATCATTTATCAGATGACTGAGTTATTTGTACCCAAATGTAAAAGGACTTTCTAGGTCATGGATAGAAGTCTTAATGCCTCTGAGCTCATAAGCACAGCTTCAAGACCTTCCCCTGTCACTGACCATAGCTCAGACTCTTACCCCAGGGAATCCTAGGGAAAGGAATCTCCCAGTTCTCAGGACCAGTCTTCTCACAGACTTTTTCTTTCCCCAGCTCCTGCCAAGGATCTCATGGCCGACTCTGCTCCAGGTGCAGAGAATGCTGCCAGGCCAGGCCACGCTGTCCTCGGGGAATAACTATCCCAGGCCCTCAGGAAGCTACACTATGGCTGAGGCAGAACGGGAGGAGGAAGAGCATGACCTACTGCACAGCTCCACGTCAACTTTTTCATTAGTGCCTCAAAGCAACACTACTTGAGCCCAGATTCTCACAACATCGTTACATTAATATGACATTTTGTTGTTTGCAAAGTGTTTCCCCAAGATCATCCTCTCTTATTTCTCTTCACCCACACCAGTAAGTGTCCTTACAGATGAATTATCTATCAGTTATGATTAAGCTGGATACATATATAAGAAAACTCAACCAACAGTAGCCCAATCAAGATAGGATCCTGTTTTTATCTCATGTGAAAAGGAATCCTAGGAGTGCAGGGCTGCTGCCATAGCTCCTTGAAATCAGAGACCCACACTCCTTCTCTCTCTGCTTCGTCACCTTTAGTAGCTGGTTTCCATCCTCATGGCGACCTCATGGTAACCTCGCAGTTGCAGGAATCCCAGCTGTCATCACACTCTTACCCTGGATAGGAGGAGGGAGAAAGGAGAAAGGGTGTATTTCCCTTTCCACTTTTATTCAAAGAGATTTTCCACTGGGCCACCGCCATCTGCGAGGAAGACTGGGAAATGAACTTTGTTGTTTGTTTGTTTATTTTAATCTGGGCATAAATCTATTCCTGTCAACTTAGGGGTCTAATGCTAAAAAAGAAGAAACAAGTAGAAGAGAATGATTATTAAGGAGGTAATAAGGAGGTAAATAGTAGTCTGACCAATGACATTGGGGCTAATAAGGATTAAATGACTAGGCCAGGGTAATCAACTAATTAGATTCTTATATGTGCCCTAAGAAATCTTTATGACTCTCTACTGCTGCTGCACAACACTTAGGGACATGTTGATACCTTATTCTATATAAATGGAACCCTTCTACACCTTACGTGATACAGCGTATGACTTGTGTAGTCATATATGGCAACCTGTCTTTTCCTTCTGCACTTGGTAAAATTTTGTATGTGAGACTGCTCATCTCCACTTCCAGGAACCCTGCCTGTCACACTCCAACAGTTGGAGCCTAATATCCATTGCTGCATATATTACTAGAGGGGTTAGGTCACTGTCCATTTATTAGGGGCTCTCTTTCTGCCTAGGCAATAAGTCCTCTTTAGGTTTCTACATATCTGGTTAGGGCCTCTCCTGATTAGGAGAGGTAGGAAGAGGCCATAATCCTTTCCATCTGGGTGAGTAAATCAGGTAGTTTGCACTTTAAGCCCATTTTCTTCAATTTGTGTGAAAGTATATATTAAACACCAAATTTTAAAGGCTCAGTTGTTTACTAGAAGGTATCCATTTTAGGAGTTACAGGAATTTTCTTACTACTATATTAATAAAGTAATACTTTGATTTTCATTTAACTATGATCTGTGTGTATGTTTCCTTATTTAGAACCCTGATGGATGGGAAGAAACAGCTAATAGTACCACTTTCTTATAAATAAAAGAAGCTATGTTTATGGTCATAGCATTAAAAAATTAATTATTGTATTTTATGATTATATATCATAATAAGACACTTTAAAAGTAACTAAATATATTGCTGAAACAGTTGCTATTTTCCCTTTCCCCTAAAAGTTGACTCTAGGGGAACATACCAGTTAATTAAAGATTTGGGTTAGGTGGGTTCTATTGTTTGAGGTTCTATTGTATTAAGTCATGAATACAACAAGCTGGGATGCTGCTTTCCTGATAAAATAGGATGTGGGGGCACTTTCACGGCTAGAATTCTGTTTTTTTGAAGATGTGATCAGTGCAGCCTGAAGTCAGGAAATGAGGAAACCGACAGAGTGTTCTTCAGGCCACCTTGGGGTCTTTCAGTAAACTGAAAGTAACTGAGCGAGAAAGGAATCTCCGGGAGAGGCCAGGGGAGTACCACCAGCCCACCAGCTCAGAGAATTTCAAAGCCAAGCTGCTCACAGGAAAAAAAAAATGCTCAACCACAGGGCGGATGTACTGCTTTTCACACCCCAGTCGTTTATCTGAAAAGCAAAGGCAGTAAATTCTTGAAGTGCTGACTAAGTTAGGATTGCTCCAGGAGAAGAGATAAAGAACACACTAAGCATCCTCTTCTCTTCCCGTGTTTTCCTGGCTCGCTTGTTTCTCCCAGGCACATTCCTTAGACCTTATTTCCTCACTTTCTCAACAGGAAATTATAAAATTAAAACAATTATTTTGAACCCTTAGGGGTATTCATTTAATTAATATGTTCGCTGTTGTGTCTATGGTGAAAACAGGAGGAGCTCCCTGGGAGCGAATGCGAATTCCATGCGGACAAATGACAAGAGCATTAATTAGCTCAATATGCCACTCAGGCTTTAATTCTAATAGTCTATTAAATAAATGAGTAATAAGAGATTCCAAAAAGAATTAGCTTTCCAGAAGAATTATGCTTCAAAAAGCCAGAGTAAGGTAGTCAATTAAGCCCCCAAAATAAGCCAATTAAGTAAAAAAAAAAAAAAAAACAAAACCAGAAATATTCAAATATCCTTTGGTATGTTGGCATCAAGTTCTCACTGGCCTCCCTACTTATTGTGCCCACAAAGCAATGTAAAAGAAAACCTTTACGGTCATTCCACACATGCATCTCGTTTAGGAAGGGCAGAAAGTTGCCAAATTATTTGCCCAGTTTGGATACGACTTAAAGCCTACTCAAAATATTTCTCCTGAAAGCATGCTTGAATGCGGAGGCATTGGAAAAAAAAGTCATCTGGACCGGCTGTTGAGGCACAAACTATTACCAGACAATTTTAGCACCATTCAACTCCTGCTGCAACCACATTGATGGGTATAGAAATTCTGTACATTCTGTTAAATGATTTGCATACTGGAGCAGTATGCAAATACTGGAACAGAAGCTCAGAGCTTAGCTCTCTTGCATTTCCCACACTCATCTCTGAACTCCTGTCTCACTTATGATCAATACCACCTAGTTTACTGAGTAGTCATGCAATGCTCTATTGTTTGTGTCCCTGAGCAGATTGGAAGCTCCATATGCAACAAGGACCATTTTTATATTTATCATGTGTCTCCTGCAATGCGTTTACAGAACTGGCCATGCTTACTTGCATCTATTCATCCGTTCATTCAGCTAACGTGTATCAAGAGCCTATTATGTGCCAGAACTTATTCTACATACATGCTGCGAATATGAGCTATACTAGGTGTCTGCTCTGTATAAGGTCTCTAGTAGGGCTTACATTTGAATGAAATGAGAAGAGACAGTAAACAAACAAGAAAAAGTGCCAGAGGTAACAGATATGATAAAAAAAAAAAAGAATTAAAATACGGTGATATGATAGGAACTGAGCGCCTACATTGCATTGAGTGGTCAGAGAATACCTCTTTAAGAGGTGACGTCTAGCTAGGGATGTAAATAACAAAGTGCTCAGTGAACTGGGTTGTCATGTACAAAGGAACTAGGAGAGGCCCTGTGTGGCCAGAGCATAGTGAGAGAGGAGCATATGAAATGAGGAGGGAGAATAGCAGGAAAGAGATCTTAGGATTTTTGGAACTGAGTTAAGCACGTGGATTTTATTCTAAATACAGTTCAGGGTTTTACCCAGGAAGTTAAATATTCTCATTTACATTTTTAAAAAATTTTGCTAGCTATTGTGTGCAATAGGAAGCAAAAACAAGGAATCAGAGAGATCAATTACATAATTGCAATAGGCCATGAGAAAGATTTTGTTGTTTGAATGAAGGCAGTATTATTAACACAGACGGAGAGAAGTAGATGAAGGAGATGTTTTGGAGGTATAGTCAAGAGGATTTGCTGATGAATCTGTTATGGGGTAATGATGAAAAAAAAGGGAAACCAAGGATTGCTCAGATTTTTGGCTTACGCAATTGAATAAATGATGACGACGTTTACTGAGCCATATGAGGAGCAGTTGTGTAGGAGATAAGGATGGAAGGGGAGTCAAGGATTATCTTTAATTTGAAATGCTAATTGAAGACATCCAGGTTGAAAGGTCAACTAGGCAGTTGAATATAGAGTTCCTAAAAGAAGCCTCATTGGCTCCTATATGGTGTCAGAAACCATGGGACTGCATGAGAACACATCTTATGATTAGCAAGAGAAGCTAAGAGGGGCCCTTCCTATTTACATTAGTTATTAGCAGATAAGTGAGCTAAATAAACAAGAGGGTGGGGCAATGGATTTTCACAGCACATATATCAGAAGGTTGAGAGTATTAGATTCCTTTCCCTGTTTTAGCAGAAGAGGACACTGATAGTGGCAATTTGATATCTTCACCACGTCATTCAAAGTACTGACTAATGTCACTGAGTACTAGAAGAATGAACATTGCATATTCATTGAACTTCTATTTTAGTAAATATATGTATGTGTTTCACGTATTTCACAAACTAGACTGTGAATGATCACATCATGATTAAATAGAAAGTTGAAATGACATCTGCCTAAGACAGCTCTTTAATTCTTTTGACCTATGAAATACAAGAATAAAAAAAGCTCACTGGCATTCATATCATGGTTCCCTTGAATAAATGTTATTTGTAGTGAGTATACAAATAAAACTGGGGAGGATAATGGAGTTCTTTTGTAGAGAAGAAAGTAAAATGCTTCTTCTTAAAATGCATATTTTCCCACCAACGGTATAAAGCATTCCTTTCTTTTTGCATCCGAGCCAGCATCTATTGTTTTGCATTTTTAAATAAATTAGTGCAACCCCTATGGAAAACAATGTGGAAATTTCTCAAAGAACTAACAGTAGACCTATCATTTGATTCAGCAATCCCACTACTAGTTATCTACCCAAAGGAAAAGAAGTCATTTCGTCAAAAAGGCACCTGCATTCAAACATTTATTGCAACATAATTCACACTTGCAAAGATATGGAATCAACCCGAGTGACCATTATTCATAAGCGGATTAATAATTCATGAGCAGATTAACAATTCATGAGTGGATTCATGATTCATGAGCAGATTAACAAAAGGTGGCATATGTATATCATGGGGTACTATTCAGCCATAAAAAGGATAAATTAATACCTTTTGCAGCAATTTGAAAGAAACTGAATCATTATCCTAAGTGAAATATCTCAAAAATTGAAAAAAAAACATCACTTGTACTCTCTAATAAATTGGAACTAACCAATGGGCACTCAAGTGCATAGAGGGAAGTAAAAGTCATTGGACATCAAGCAGGAGGGAGAAGAGAGGAGAGAAGCAAACACCCACATAACAGGTGTGGTGAAAACTATTTGGGTGATGGCCACATTTATAACCCTGACTCAAGCCATGTAACAAACACATTTGTACCCCCTTAGTGTTTTGAAATAAATAAATAAATAACTCTCAAAAATAAACTTAAGCAAAAAAATAAAAATAAAAATAAAAACAACAGCAAAAACAGCATGTTTTCTAATTACAGAAGTAATATAACATATTGTTATTATTAAAACATCAAAAATGTAAAGCTGAAGCCCATCTGGACAACTTCCCCCAATCTCAGTCCTGTCCCTAGAAGTAAGAATTTTACCAGTTTTGTATAAATGTCTCAAGTCCTTTACTCCCTTGAGTGTGTGTGCATGTGTGTGCATACATGTGCATGTGTTTCTGTGTAATAGATGCTGTTGCTTGTGTGAGCATTCATGTGCATGAATGTATGTGTATGTGTGTGCGCATGTGCATGTGTTTGAGTGTGTGTAATAGATGTGGTTGCTGCCCTGCCCAGATTCCCTTTTCTGCTGCTGCTAGAGTTGACTAAAAGAAACTCAGAGCTTCCGCTTTCTCTGTAGAATTGCCCTTTGCCAAAGGAAGCTGTGACTGCTCCCCTGCACTCCCAGGGGAAAAGGGCAAGGCCTGCTTGGTCAATAACAGCCGACACAGGGATACAAAATGGCCTCAAGGTGGGGCCCACTCTGATGCAGTTCGATCATGCTGAGCAGGGCTCCACATGAGACCACATTGCTGCTCAGCATTCTTCCCCCTCCTACCCTGGTTCCCTCTTGCCTCTTCTCATGACAGCTCTTTCCCAATAATCGATAAATACCTTGAGTAAGAATCACCATCTCAGATTCTGCTTCTTTGGAACCCAATTTAGACAGTGTATTTTCTAACTATCCATATTATGTGTACAAAAGCAAGGATTACACAGATGTTATCATAGCATGCATATTATCCGGAGGTTTTGTTAAGCAACAATTTTTTTGGAAAGTTTTTGTGATGCTAACATAACGTGCATGTTATCAGGGGGTTTTCTTAAGTAACAATTTTTTTTGG